ATACGAGAGGTGGAATCTGATTGGTCCATAGGAGAGGTTTAGAAGGGACATAATTGGTAATAGACACTGGGGGCGCAACGGTCGAGCCCAGTAATTCAAGCCTAGTTCGGCAAGGGTGGAAACTGGACTTTTAAAGTCAGTTAACTCTCTTGCCTCGGGAAGATGTTTTGTGTACGATTAGGAGTGGCCTCCAAGTACCGAATGCAATTATAACAACGAAAGAAATCTGAAATCACATTAGTTTATTAGCCTGCCTAAAAGTCCGGTTACATGTAACTGAATCAGCGAAGGCAAGGGTAAGGTAGCAGTAATTAGGTTGTGTCTGCAGCTTTTTGTGTTAGTGATTAAATATGTTATTATTGTTATTAACCCTCTCTTGTTAATCTCGTTTGCTTCGTTATTATGTTGTTATCTTTCTACATCGGCCACGTCATTATATTGTTGTCTTTGTAAATTAATCCTATTTTATTTTACTTTATCGTTATATATATGCACTCACTCACTCACTCACTCACTCACTCACTCATCTGATGAAGGAGCAAGAAGTAGCCCTGAAACGTGACAAAGAATAAAAGAAGTCGCTTTCTATAAAAAGTGTCATGTATTCATATTATTGTTGACGTATATATTTATAAAAAAAATGACTTCAATATATTTTGCGTTTATGGAGCAGTGTGCTCACCTGTTTTGACGTTAATACCTCCTCAATCACAATACATACTGAAGTCAATTCTGAAGTGAAAATGGTAAATGTTCTGAACACCTTAGCTTCAGAAATTACACTTCAACTTGGCGATATCGCGTTGCCAGCAAGGCTTGCGGGTGTGGTTGACATGCTTACCACGTGGCCTTGATTAAACCCTTTTGATAATCATGAAGTTTGGGACTGGAAGGCAACACTGCATTGGCAGTATTACGGTTTCACTTTAGCTTACTCACCATGGCAACGGGGTGCAATAGATAACGTAGACAGCAACACGCCACCACAATGCCCTAGGTAAATGTTTCGGCGTGTATTCTACACAAGAAAGTCTTGATATATGTGTATTGACACACTGTTTGTAACCTCATTTCGTCCATTATATATCCATCGACCACGCCGTTAGCATTGCTTGTTTAATAAGACTGTATGTCACGTCGATAGTAAAAGTCATTCATTTCATCAAATGAACCCGTTCATCATTATATATGAATGATTGCCTAGAGAATAATCCACGACATGCGTAACGGGCAACTATGGATTGTCTGTACCCAGGGAATTCATTTTGTCGTTTCGAGATTTGGCGATGACGTCATCTTCAATTATATACAATGCGTTCATATGACGTCACGTTTCTATGGGCCTCTTCGCAAACAATGAAAATAATCCAACACTTTGAAAATGCTGTAAATAATTTCCCCCATACCCGTGCCCTTCTGGTTAATATATGACATTCTCTATCCAGATAGATGCACAACATGTCACACGCGTAATAGGGCTAATAGTCCATGAGCCAAAAAGGACAAATAACATGTGGGATGTCCATCATGTGATTTCATGTACAGTAAACCACGGTTATAACGAACTCAAAGGGACTACTAATTTTAGTTCGTTATAACCGTAGTTCGTTATAAGCATATATACAGAATAACTACAGCAAATAGTCGGGACCAAAAAGTAAGTTCGTTATATCCGTCAGTTCGTTATAAGCTTGTTCGTTTTAACCGTAGTCTACTGTAGTTTGGACATCAGGCTATCTGAAAACCACAATGGAAATTGGTCCCTCCATTTGGTAGTCAAACATAAAAATCAGGGGTCTGGCTCATGGACTATACGTGCTGCACGTGCATTCCATAAATGGAGTTTAAACTGTCCCCCATCCTCTAATACAGACCACCTCCGCGGTGTAGTGGATAGAGCGTCTGCCCGGAGAGCGGAAGGTCGGGGACTCGATCCCCGCCGCCTCATACCAAAAGACGTTTAAAGATAGGACTCGTTGAACTTTGACCGACCAATTGAATGACCAATCAGAAGGCAGCTTTCTCGTGCTTTACGGCACTTATTTCAAATTGGCGACTACGCTTCGAAACGTATTTTGACAAATTCTCGATTACAAATTTGAAACCTGAACAAAAAGACATTCTGGAATGGCTAATAGTGGTCTAGATTGTAAGGATTCAGTCGTTAAACCCGTAACTATCGTTCGGAATACCCCATGTTAATGTTTTGGAGGTTGCATGATGAAAAATCACATTCCGACTGTCACATTCATAATCTGGTAAGCGATGCTCTGATTGGTCGGATGAAAGGTCGTTCTGACGAGACCCCTAATGGGATGTCTTCAGATCTTTGTTTAGCGGTAGCGAGAACTAAGGTCTGATTTTAATGAGATTGAACAGGATTGAAATTCTATCCGAAATAACAAATGATTATTTTTCTATTATGGTGCATATCATCTAGTCCAGTGAGATAGAATAATTAATAACTAAGAACACTGGCCAGGCTTGGCCATATTCATTTCGCCAGTACTGCCATACCCACATACAAGCACCCATTGGCATATAGACTCCAAAGCCCATAAAATATTAAGTTTGATTTTTACTGGTTGGAAGAGAATTAGTAAATACGGGCTATAAACAAGAAAAATCCATCATAAAAATGCCCTAACTCCAACCACCTTTGTTGTTTTGTATAAACACCACACCTGCATGAGTAGAAGAATATGTTTGTTTAATACCAATCACGTCGCCCGTGTGATCATTGGTTTAATAATACACTAATGTATTTACTCTATCGATGGACAGAACCATACTCTCCAATACTCTAGCATTGACTTACCAGCATTGTCCTGACGCTAAATCACTTTGTGGAACGCGGCCCTGGATCGTGTAATACACGCTGAATAAATGATTGATCTTTAGCGAGATTAGTGTGGTCGTGGAATGGGGACTTTTAAACGATCGCTCACATTTCCTTAGGGACTGACCAGTTGCTATTCTGGGGTGGGGGTGGGGGTGGGGGTGGGGGTGGGGATGGATTTTGTATATAGATGAAATTATCTAATTATTTGTAATTACCTAATTACCCCGGGCAAAACATCCGTAGGAATTCAAATTGCACGATCACTCTCTGGCAGTGTACACTGTGAGCTAACTCGTGAAGATCTGGGGTAGAATTGATCTTCAACAACCCATGCTTGTTGTAAGAGGCGAATAACGGGATCGGGTGCTCAGTTTCGCTGACTTGATTGATGCATGTCATCGTATCCCAATTGCGTATACGCATGATGTCAATCCCTGGATTGAGTGGTTCAGACTGGATTATTTACAAATCGCCGCCGTATAGCTGGGATATTGCTGAATGAGGCGTTAAACAACAAACAAACAAACAAACATCAGCTGCATATGAATTACACATGGACCATGTTCTATTCTTATAACATGTCTGAATATTAACGATAATTTGCTTCCCATATTCTATCTGTCCCCTCTGGTTAAATCTATGAGTTTGTTCAAGGGACAAACGAGGTGTTTGAACGACCTGAACCTAGACTGTCGCTTTGCTCTGGCCAAGCCCCCCTCCAGCGACAAACACATTTCCATAAAAACTACAGTAAACTACGGTTATAACGAACACGCTTATAACGAACTAACGGATATAACGAACTAACTCTTTAGTCCCGACTATATGCTGTAGTTATGCTGTATATATGCTTATAACGAATTACGGTTATAACGAACTAAAATTAGTAGTCCCTTTGAGTTCGTTATAACCCTAGTTTACTGTATATATTTGTGGTCAAATCTATGTTTAAACGATTAACATGCGAATCGTTCTAAATGCGATGGAGGGTGTTTTGGAAAACCAGCATGTATGGTATTCAATATGACATAATAAATAATAGCGACAAAAGCATTTCAGTAATCAAAGCATCTCTACTGAAAGTAAAGAACAATATAGATTCCGACTATAACATAAGCATGTGTTATGAAATAGTGAGCGTATCCTGCCCCACAGGAGGCCCCGTCACAAACACATGCAAAGGCAAATACATGCAAACACATGGTAAAGTCAAAACAGGGACTTATATGGGACAATCGATTTGTCACTGATGCGTCAAATGTTTAACATAAAACTTTCTGAAAGCTTTACCCTGGCCTTGAATGTTGTAACCCTGATCAAACAACGTCTGAGCAGGAGGTGTGTAATGCTCTTTGAAATCTTTGTAGAAAGAGCATGCTTTATTGTACCCGAAAAGTTGTAAAATGTAGACACCAAAGGCGTGAGAGTTGACTATTGGGAAGTTGAACTCATGTCTCTTGTCCTACAGTCGTCTTGATATTTTTTGTCAGTCTGAATGTTTAAGCCTAGATCTAAATACGAAACAGATGAGGCGGTGTCCCTGGCCTCCCTCTCTTCCAGCTCAGGTGGGTATATCAGTTGAAGCATCCTTGTTTAATTCTTATAAATCACAACCATCATGCTGACGCTCTTCGACGTCTTCGGAGAAAGCATGCTCGATTGTAGGTCGTCAAATCATGTCGACACCAGAGGGTGGAGTAGCTGGAATCCTGTTCCACACAAATGTTTATTGGAAAAGAATAATCTGTCGTCAGGTTTTACCAAAATCGCTCACGATAATGTGTTCTGTGTGTTTTTTGTGTGCTTTGCTAATGGTTTGTGTATGTTGTGCTTATGTTTTGTGTATGTTTTGTTATATTTGTTTATTTTTTGTTTATGTTTTGTGTATGTTTTGTGTATGTTTTGTTTATATTTTGTGTATGTTTGGCTAATGGTTTGTGTATATTTTGCTAATGTTTTGTGTATGTTTTGTTATGTTTTATGTAGGTTTTGCTAATGGTTTGTGTATATTTTGCTAATGTTTTGTGTATGTTTTGTGTAGGTTTTGAAGCACTGGGTGTGAACACAACAAAGGACAATGCCCCCTGACGTAAAGTTGCAAGTAGTGTTCTCACAAGCCCCCCCCCCCCCCCGCTACTTTGTTCATGTTCACACTTACCTTACATTTTCATATCTCGTCAGGAATATTTTTCTGAACTGACCGTCTCCACCCTCGCCCCAGTCTCGCAACATCTCGTCAGCAACGTGCTTTGGTAAAACTGACAGTAAAAGGCGTTCCTGAAAAATGATCTAATATATAACAACCAGTGTGTGATAATTGCTAAACGCATCAATATTGAAAAAAACCGTAAAGGACTCAAAGAAATTAGCAACAAGTAAAGTCAGGGTTGCAACGACCCTATAGAGATGGGTAGATGGATGGAAGAAGTTGAAATAGCTATGTGGGGGAGTGAGTTGGGTTGAGTGAGTGAGTTGGGTTTAACGTCGCTTTTAACAGTATTCCAGTTATATCTCGGCGTGCCAGCTTAATGTGGGAGGAAAGCCCGAAGGGATACAGGTCTCAGACGTTTATCACTTCGGTGAAACCCACGAGCACGGGTATGGTACCGACAAACCTAGAAACATAATCGGGGCGAACCGGGATTCGATCCCACAATCATAGGTTTCTGGCGTGCCCAAGGGACGCAACTCTGCACAGCGAATCGCGACGCCTTAGACGACTGGACCACCCGTGCCTCGAGTTGGGTTGAAGGCCGCTTTGAATAGTATTCCAGTTATAAGTTTCAGACGTTTACCACTTTGGCGAATCCAACGAGCACGGGTATGGTGCTGACAAACCTAGAATCATAATCCGGGCGAACTGAAGTTTCTGGTGTACCCAAGGAACGCAACTCTGCACAGCAAATTGAGGCGTCTCAGACAACTGGTCCACTCGTCCCCCCGAAATAACTATGTAGTGTACTGTAGCGTTTACTCTGTAATTTTCCACATGCATATAAATAAACATTAAGATATTTGTATGTCTCAATACACTTCTAATTAATTCGATGCTTCATTAGTGTTAACTGGAGTACATTATTGAATATACTATTCGCATGACAACCAATATAACAGCATGAGTGATTAACCGCCCGCGCCTCTTGGACGTGACGTGCTGCATGTACACAAACAACACAAGCATCAGGTGCGCCTGTACTTCCCCTGGAAATTACTAAAGGATTTCCACTGGGTAGTATTCAGGGGGAGATTTCATTCAATACTAACACAATACAGAATCAGCAGGGATCAGGTGTCTGGAAAATGGGATGTCTTCAGATCTTTGTTTAGCGGCAGCGAGAACTTAGATCTGATGTTAATGAGATTGTGTAGATTATCCACCGGAACAGAGTCCATTTGGCGCAAAAGGCAAAGCAGAGACGAAAATTATATAAATGGATCAATGAAAAGCAGTTACGGTGAGGTGAGGTGAAATGGGGTTTAACGTCGCGTCGAAGATTATTGCACTTATATAAGCGACGTGCATGCACGTGTTTGTATGTGTGTGTGGCTGCTTGTACTAGTCCGGACTGATGCCGATTTATATAGTGCTAGCTCACTGAGATACCATGCCGCAGTTTAAGATGAATACCCCACTCAGACACAGTATACTGACTCCGAGCCGACCAGTCCTTGTTTTAGCCCCTTAATGCCGAGCGCCAGACAGGGTAGCAACATGTACCATCTTTAAACGTCTTTTGGTATGACGCGGCCGGGGATCGAACCCCGGACCTTCCGCTCTCCGGGAGGACGCTCTACCACTAGACCACGGAGGCGGTCGAAAAGCAGTAACGACAGATGTTTGCGAAAGCACACAATATTTGTTTTCGTTCGACATTGACATATTTTTTGGATGTAATCTGAGATATTTTATTCTTACTTGAAGATATCTAAACTAGAAATAAAACTCTCCTTGGTTTTGTTTGATTTACAGTAAAACCCTCGGGTTGCAAGGGTCGGGTCAGTTGAACAATCCCAACCGAAACTACGGAGTCTTGTTTTATCTTTTGTATTTGCGCACATTAAATGAGTAAGACGGCCACGTTGTCTAGTCCAATTCTTGGGTAATTACGTCGGACACAATTAGCCTAGGTGAACGCCAATTATGAGGCTGCCAAACCCCTTTTGGTTCGCGGGACTCGAGGCATTCGTCACCACTCACCCGTTTCTGTAAGAATATCGACGAATGTTATGTACGAAAACACGACAAACCAATCAGAATGCGTGTATGACTTCAAGTACTTCGGTCAAAGAATTCCGCAGGAATATATTTTGATTTTACATGTATGTCTTGCATCTAAAAATATACCAACGATACAGTTAATGTGTTCAATCATACTGTATAATACCGTAAGTCTCGATGTGTTTTCAATATCATATATATGATATATGGGGCAAATAAAAGTGAATCATTACGCAACGAGTTGACAATTCTTTCAGCTATGTCCGTTTGCGCTTAGATGGAACCCAGTCGCAAAAATGGCCACGAGAGGGGCACGAATCGCTATTCGCAAGCGTTTCCACTGGCCTGTATCAAAACAAGACTTTGATAAAAAAGGCTGGTGGACGCTCTTGTCTTTGGGAAGATGTGCTTGTCCCGGAATAACACGAGTAGGTCACAAATGGACTCGGGGTCCACCACAACGATGCTTTCTGATCACGATCAGCCATTTCCGCTGAAAATGGACCTCTGAGGTGACCCGTCGACTTCGCTAGCACATGATTGTCACGTGATGCATACATCCTGGATTGAACGCTTGTCAGACGAAAAAAACCGCAAATAAACTGGAATAGATCATGGCGATAGATCACTACATTATATTAGGCCTTACGTGACAAATGTTTGCATAAATTAAAGTTGAGTGCTCGCAATGAATACTCTAGAGCAGGTTCCCTGTGCGTTTGTTTACAGTCATCAATGTTGGAACTATATTTTCTAAAGCTTGTTGTGTACAAGTATCTTTTGAATATATTTAGGATAAACAACTACGTATGAATAAATGTAACGAAAAAAAAAAGAAAATTAAACACAGATGAACAATAAAGGCGCAGAAATGGGCTTCCGCGATTGTGTTTAGCGGAAGCCTGTTTACTACATTCCTTACATTCACAGCGGACTCATCTTTTCGGTTAGGGAAGGGGGCGAGATTGGCAGACTGCAGAACGTTGTTGTCATCTACTTTGTCCCGAAAGTGAGTGAATAACGATGCCCCGAAATCGTTTCCGGATTTTGACAATATTAAGGGTTACATGTACGAAACGTGAAGCACACATTCCCCCATAATCTGTATTTCTGAAATGGCGCCTTTTGTTATTCAAGAATTTGAAATTTTGTCTTTTTATTTTTCGTTTTCAACGCAACAAGTTGGATTTGGGGTCCAATAGGGGGAAGGGTTAGTTTTCGGAGTTTCACTTTCACAACAGTCACAGTAATTTCTAGACTTGGTTTTATGTTTGTTTACCTGTTCTTTTGATTCCTTCTCGATGGTGACCTTGACACTCAGTGAGGACTTGGTCTCGACAAATGACCTTCTTTGTTGTTTGTCCGAGAAAATGTAGGAGATGACACCCAGCACGTGCGAGCAGACGACAAGCAGGATATTGGCTCCAACCTGTCAACATTACACACGACACCCTGACATACAAACATATTTGTTGTTGTTGTTGTTGTTTACGCAGCAATATTCCAACTATATGACAGAGGTCTATAACTAATCGAGTCTGGACCAGACAATCTAGTGATTCACAGCATCAGCATCGATCTACGCAATTGGGATGCGATGACATGCATCAACGAAGTCAGCGAGCCTGACCACCCGATCCCGCTAGTCGCCTCTTGCGACAAGCATAGTCGCCTTTTACGGCATACAAGCAGATAGTGACATCGTTGCCTTCCTTACTTCCCTGCTAAGGGGTATCCATTTCGTGTGTATGGGGAGGATGGGGTGCGTGTGTGTGAGAACAATCTATGATTTTCCCAGCTGTAATCCACCAAACTATTTATTTACTGAGAACCTTTAAACAATCAATTTATTTTCACTATTAAAACACACAAAAAAGTGACTTTTGACTATTTTTAAACAGACTATAATCAATGTTTTCACTAATGCCAACAAATTTTATATTTTGGGCCTATTTCTGAACAAATTAGTCATTTAAAATATCTTCCCGCCAACCCGTCAGACATCAAATGGATGCTCCCTAATGTAGCCTTCTGTTGATCACTGAGTATTGATTGTACGACGTCACTCTTTCAAAGACGTTGCTGATCATTGTGCTGTCCTTACTGTCACATCCCTCACACGTGAACCCCAAACAATACAACCTTTGTATTATTGAAATACGAGGATTCATCATTGAACACACAGTGCCATTTAGAAAGTGGTCAAATGCAACAAATGTTAAATTTGGGAGAACTCTTTCTCAGTAAAGTACGGATTCTCGTACTTTTTGGCGTTGAGTTCATCATTCATCTCCTTCTGTTTCATCAGTATCCCCGCCATCCTGACTGGCGGGTCAGTGACTGATATTTCAAAAAGCTTTTCCTCGCTTATTTTGTACAGCTATTTTCAGCGTCGAGTATTTCAAACCAGACACAAAGCAAAGCTATTAATGCAAATGGGTTCGATGTATTTGTACTAACAAAATGAACATCTACTACCCTTGATTTTCAAAGACGTTTCCGGACGCTCACACTCATCATGTTTGGTCTCCGGACGCTGTATCTTGTTTTATATCAAGGTATTGGCTCTTTGTAATTAAGGTAGCCATGTTTTGCTAGATCGGTCATATTGTAAGGCCTTCAGTTAGCAGAAAGGTCATCTTGCTGGGGCTGCAAACTGAAACGAGTCTAGTCCTGGGTTTAAAGAGAGAATCAAATGGCAGTGCCAACACGTTTAGATCGGATAATTTAAATCACATTGCTCGCTCATTCTCAATTCTCTAGCTATTTTTCAGTCATAAGTATATGAGAGCTGCATCTAATGTGATTGAAATGTGAATGAAGATGAGTTTCATTTTCTGTTAGTTTGTCCAAATTAAAACTACTTAAAAAGTAAATATATAGACTTTTTATGTACATCCAACTCAATAAAAATATATAATCGATCATGTCAACAACTGATAATTCTACAAGTGCAAGTATCATAAAAATCGGTAATAGTTTTTTCTTACATCAGACTGTAGCTAGTGAGCTGTGCAATACGATGGCCAAAATAATGTGTGAAAACGTAAATGTAGCGCTAGTGCGCTTAATTAAAAGTACATGTTTTGAGGTCTGTACACAAACGAATCTTAAAAGCGCTAACGAGGAGGCGTGGCTTAATTAGCACGGCCGGCGGGGCCTGCAAGCTGATTGGGTATCACCACCAGCCAGGCACACGATAGACGTGGTGCGTTTCATTAGTTGTGGGGAGACCTGTGTTGAATATTAAATACCGGATAGACAATAAGTACTAATTAACCGGAACGGTATTTTTCTCACCTACAGTCACTCATCTCACAACAACATGCAACTGCAGTAGATTATTGCATAATGTATGCCAGCAGTCAGTCCAGGTATCATAAAACACTCCGCCATGTGTATAGTGTAATATAACACGTGAGCAAGTGACACGGATTCACATAGTCTATGACATGTCGCTTCATCTTTGGCGTGGGGGCACGGGTGGCCCAGTCGTCTAAGGCGCCGCGATTCGCTGTGCAGAGTTGCGTCCCTTGGGCACGCCAGAAACCTATGATTGGGGTCGAATCCCGGTTCGCCCCGATTATGTTTCTAGGTTTGTCAGCACCATACCCATGCTCGTGGGTTCACCGAAGTAGTAAACGTCTGAGACCTGCATCACTTCGGGCTTTCCTCCCACATTAAGCTGACACGCCGTGATATACTAGTAACTGGAATACTGTTAAAAGCGGCGTTAAACCAAATTCACTCACTCACTCATCTTTGGCGTGCTATTTCATGACTGCAATGGGATATTGTGATTTGGAGAAAAAATACTAAACAAACAATCTGTGTTTTGCAAACGCTTATAATCCATACGGCGAACATGGGTATCATCCTGATTATTTTCCTCACTATTGTCGGTCACAGGTTCAAACATGGAGGGGTTCACTTGTACCTCTTCCTCAGACATCACCATGACAACGCGTAAACTAGCGTCACTGACAGAGTGGGACATATTGGAAAGTTATGATCGATTTGAGCTCACGATAACGCAACAAGGAACGAAGTAAGTAGTATGCTTCATAACGTTATCTACAGATCAGCCAATATTTTAAACAAAGAATAAACTTACAACAAAACTTATGAGATAAGTACTGTAACGCGAACAATTGAAGAAATAGCACGTTCCGGGCATCGTTGTCTCACCGAATATTGACCTCAGTTTGTTATATAAATGACCTTTGTCACTTTTTCGTTGTTGAAAGAAGGAAGAATATATTTTAATCCTTTAATCCCACTCATACGAAGGAAAGTACAGTGTACAAATGGTCATGGCTAATTGTTTGTGGAAAGGCTGCTGGAGTGAGAACGGAGGGGCGATCAAGTGTGTAATTTTGGAGGTAACGTCCTCCAACAAGACCATATATGGAGCCTCCGCTGTATTTAAAAGTGCAAATAAACCTTATTTACGCGCCGCTCTCGACGTTTTGAATACGATATTTTCATTGACGATGTTACGATCTATTTAATCTGTATGAACTCGTGAGACCTGAACTTAAAAATTATCATGCCATGTTAATTAGAATATGAACTGTTAAGCATATCTGCCACCTCTCCCGAAAAAAAAAGAATTGTACTATGGACCTGTGGCCTTTCAGTGTGGAATAAAACTTATCATATTAAGTAACAGTTTTATCATCTAGATCAATGCGAAAATAGACCCGGGACGATCCGGGTTAGAATTGATCTTCAGCAACACGTGCTTGTCGAAAGAGGCGACTAACGGAGTCGGATGGGCAGGTTCGCTGATTTGGTTAATGCATGCCATCGTATCCCAATGGCGTAGATCGATATGCATGACGTCAGTCACAGGATTGTCTGGCCCAGACTCGATTATTTACAGACCGCCATCATATAGCTGGAATATTTCTGTGTGCGGCGTTAAACAACAAACAAGCAATACAATAATAAATGTATATTCTAAATCCACTGAACAGACTGTCTCAATTACACACTTGGAATGATCATAATGTCTGAGCATAGCTGAATAGCAACAGACTAGGAATCCTAGTTTTCATTTAACTGTCAAAATAAAGGCCGCTGTAAAAAAGTAATTTTATATTTGATTCTTTGTTTCTGCTTCGTAATCCCTTGATGTTGATAAAGTAAATTACCATATAGTATTACCGTATTCGACGTAATAAGCGCCCTGCTCTATTAAGCCCCCAGGGCGATATTTGCTGACATTTTCAACCTTCTGATTACCGGTACTTCCCCTTTGGAGTGAGTGAGTGAGTGAGTATAGTTTTACGCCGCTTTTAGCAATATTCCAGCAATATCACGGCGGGGGACACCAGAAATGGGCTTCACACATTGTACCCATGTCGGGAATCGAAACCGGGTCTTCGGCGTGACGAGCGAACGCTTTAACCACTAGGCTATCCGACCGCCCCTTCCCCTTTGGAACAATGGGCATCGACTATGATTTTTACTCATTGTTAATGTGTAGTTGCGGTATTACAAATGTAAGAGACATATACATTGTATATTTAAATACAGAGGACGATCGTTTACAGTGTTCAACAAACCACGGAATTTACGAATTTTCAATTCCGTTTTTTTTCCAAAATCATATTCTAATAAGCGCCCCCTATTTCTAATTTTGAGAACGCCCTGAGTGCTTATTACGCCAAATACGGTATGAGAAATGATCCTCCAATCCTTGGGGTGGAATAAAAAAACAACAGGTAAAACATTTTTTGTGATTTTAGCTTCATCTTTTCTTACCAACAACACAAAGTAAGAAAACATTAAAATGTAACGAACCTGATTTCCTAGAAGAGTGACGTTGTTACTTTTCTGGGTCCAGATGATAATGACAGCACACACGTGACCTATACTGACTAGAGATGCGAGCAATATACACAGCACGAGCTTGACCGGAAGCATTACATAGGTCAGGTACACGAGAACCACAAGCCACGTGACTCCCTCGCTCGGTAGACCGGAGTTTGAGTTCCAAGACAAGTCGAAAAATATTTGTATTGTTAATAACGTCCATATCACATATGCCACATTTGATCGCATTGCCACTGATATCCTCTGTATGTGGCATAAAACAAAAAGTAATATATTCACAAATAAAAGCAACGCAACAATCGCTATCTTGGTTATTTCGTTTTCCGAATATTTCAAAATGGCCATGACGAGAATATAAACGTCAAAGATAGCTGAGAAAACCACAAACGAATCAATCATATCCAGTTTTTGTCGTTTGTAATAAATACGATATAGCCTCTCGTCCACTTTGTCCCGGAAGTGAGTGAATAAGCGGCCAATCTGGTCATTTTGTATGACTTCCGGTTCCTTCATCGGCCCCACGCGGGCATTCATCATGTGCATGACCTTGACCGGAACGTCGACGACTATGTCCGAGACTTTTCCGTTGTCACAAACATCACCATTCGTCATGTTGAGGAAGCTGTTGACTGACCATCTGATTCATCTGGAGGTGTTAATCTTGAAAATCTTGTTTCTTTTGTTCACACGAGTTTAAATGGCGCTAATTTAAAGTACAAACTAGTGAACCCTTCGGAATGAGATATCAGGATCACAATGTTTAATGACCACCAAACCTTCAATTATTTCCTTTGAATACGCATATTCCTTATGAAATGAACACATGTATATTTCAATGTCTCTGTCACATGCTTGATGTCGCCGGACACACTGTTGATCACATTAGGTGTGTCTATTGATAACATCCATTAGCGTAACAGAATATTCAGACTCCATAGGGATCTTTGCACCTGAAACTGTTTCCTCCATACTGTATCTGAAACAACAAAAAAACATCCGATTGCAAAAAGATATTATTGATTAAACTGTATATCAATATATCGTGACCAGCAGTGAGACAAGCTTTTATCAGCGCCGACTAGCTACCTAAACGTGACAATCTCTTGGAAGTCGAAGGCCTAAAATAGATAACTGTTTTCTAACAGGCGAAGTTGTGTTTTGTACATACTGTTATCATAGATCGATAACTGTCTCATGTGGAAGTTTTTTATTTATGAAATGGTGTTGCAAATCCATATTTTAACTTGTTCCATATGGTTCCGTGGGTATTTTCAGGTGAACAATTGATTTGCCTCTGCCTGTGTTTGTGACGAGTGCCACAGGTGGGGCTTACCTTTTCGCGAAAACTTGGTATTATCACTATTTTATGATGATTCATAAACACATGCTTATGATATCGTCGGGATCGTTCAAAGGACTCTGCCTTTAGTAGAGATTTCTTAAGATAATAAAACTGTTTTTTGTAGCTTAGATTTATCATGTCATATTAAATGTCGTATATGTTTCCCCAAACATCCTCCATCACACATAAATCGTTTGAACACAAACATATTGTCGGAATCGTACAAAGGGCTCTACTTTTAGTCGAAATATCTAATGATAATAAAAATAAACAAAATTTAGCTTTTGTTTATTATGTCATATTAAATGTCATACATGCTGGTTTCCCAAAACATCCTCCATCGCATATAAATCATTTGAACACAAACATATGGTCTTGTGATCATTGAAATGTTTTTGTCGCTGCAGATGAACTAGGCCAGGGCTAGCTGACAATCTGGGCGCAGGTCACTCAAACACCTCGTTGATTGCCTGATAACCTGCAGTTGTATGTGCATTACACGAGAGCCAGTGAATGCCATGACGACACAGGGACACTGTCTCAGTTGAAAATGTAGAGTTTAGCCCCCTCTTTAAAAGTTCATCCGTGTCTTTTGTTTGTCTATCGTTTAACGCCGAACAAACTCACCAGAGTAGGTCAGATACCTCATTATACCAAAAAAAATTCTAAAGCTTGTGTTTCTTGTTTAACGCCAGACACAGCAATATTTCAGCTATATGATGTTGCTGAAACCATCAAGTCTGGACCAGATAATCCAGTAAGCATCGATCTACACAACTGGGATACGAGGACGTTTCATCAACCAAGTCAGCGAGCCTGACCACCCGATCCCGTTAGTCACCTCTTACGACAAGCACAGTCGCCTCTTACGACAAGCATTGGTTGCTGAAGACCAATTCTAGCATGGATCTTCACTGGATTCATCCCTGTCCAGTGGACTATACTTGTATACCGAGTCACAGTGTCACATTAGTGCGTGTACATATTCTAAGTATACGCCCACAAATAAACACAGGACACACTGAATACCCATCAATGATTCCGTCACATATATACATTGGCATGTGATGGATTCAAATGCATGAGTTAAGCGTTGCCGCTACCAATGTCTGCTACGTCGTACTCCCCGACAAAGGGAAACAGCGGGGCATTACACTTCTAATATATTAATTTCAAATCAGGATCGCAGGTATTCAGAAACCTATTGTAGTATTATAGGTGTGATCGGGTCTCCTGTAATATCGATACATAATTTTCAAGTATGATCCTGTCAGAGTTTTGTAAAGAGAACAATATTTTCACAGAAGCACGTGCCTTTCCGGTTATCACGTGGTTGTGAAGGAATAGATTAAAATGTACTTTTGACGTAGCGTTTACCAATATACAACGTCAACGCTAAATAGGCAAACGAGCGGTGAAAAGTATATGAATGGTATGGAATAAATTGTGTTTCTCTTCTTGTTTTGCGCAGATGGCGCAATCTGTTTTGCGAACCACCATCTTGTTCCGACTGGGTACCCGAACCTCGAGGCGATCTATATTTAATTACACAAACTGATTATGTAGCTGATTTAATTATTTAATATTGATTTACTCCCAAATATGAAATCTATATTTTATTCATGTGAAATAACATGAGTTAAAATAACACTGGAGTGAAATACAACTTTATGTGGAACTACTTTCACTCAGTGAAAATGCAAATTCAACTCTCACACACACACACACACACACACACACACACACATGCATGACAATAGGATAAGAACTGATATTGTTTTCTTCAAATTCTGCCTATTTGTGACCTATTGTCACACACACACACACACACACACACACACGCACACACACATATTGGACTTATCTAAAATATCTTATCTCCCGAATACTACTAACCCTTATCTTTACGGTAACATGCATTGATGGATTTCATCAATTGAAACTAGAATCAGTTTCATAAGAAATGTAAAAATGTTTCAAATGTAAATTTGTAGGGAAATCGTGTCTCTAGAAGCACACACTTATCTTGTTACTCTCCAGTCACCTGGCATTAGAATGATCAATATGTCTTTGTGTTTACACTTGCTATTTACAAATGGTTCAGTCATGTGCACTCTTCCAAGAAAGATTATCCGTCAATCACGTGACAGGTGACGCCAGTAACAAGGTGGGCGAGACTCTCGTGCAACATAGGACAGGCAGCATCTCAAAAACGCCAAGCGCCATTATCACCAACCACGTGTACGCGTCCTCCGGTGGGATGGCGATCGGTGCAACTGATAATCTACCGATTGATTCTTACTGTCTCTTAATCACCCAGTATCTTATGGTCAATTGTGGTACTTATCAATAGTCCTTGATACACAGTCGACACTATGGATATAATTTTATCGAATACCTCTCCAAGAAAACTGCCTTGTCATCGCCCCGTTTAGTGGAACGAAAACACGCGTTCGTTTATTGAATAGGTCATATTGAAAGAAGGCGATTCGTGTGTTTTCATTTCTATATCAAATATCCTTAAAAACTTGACAGGTGTCACAGAAAACTGTGACCAGATAAAATAGTGTTATTATTTGATGACAATATGTTTAAATGAATATGAATCATAATGGAACGTTTTCCTTAACTAATATATATTTAGACAGACGACATTGAAACGCTCATTTCAAACGCTTAGATTCTCTATGATATAACGAGGTCGCATTTTACTGATGTGAGATATCTACTTAAATAATTTGTTTTAATAAGCGTTTGCCTTGTATTTGTGTCATTATTTCAGAATTGATTGAAGAAACACCTTTTGCCCATGGATGCTTCTGGCGATGTACCCCTGGGGATGCAGATAGTCACTCATACCAAGGTTTTACAAGCCACAAATTTCCTGTGAAAAATGTAGTAATTAATGATTTAGTGATACAGTAAACTAGGGTTATAACGAACTCAAAGGGACCACTAATTTTAGTTCGTTGTAGCCGTAGTTCGTTATTTGCATATATACAACATAACTACAGCAAAGAGTCGGGACAAAAAAGTAAGTTCGTTATATCCGTCAGTTCGTTATAAGCGTGTTCGTTATAAACGTAGTTTACTGTAATGCAAACATAGGAAGACACTCTATTCAAATGATAAGTCTGCTATGTCTGCTACATGTGAAATACTACCCCCGGCATGGGCGGATACAGCTTTTTTTAAAAGGGGGGGGGGGGGGGGGGGTGCACAATTAAGATCTATTTATTGTCTTTGGTGGTAATTTATACAGAAATAAAGATTTTTTTCGAAATAAAAAGGGGGGGGTGCGTCTGATGGATATTCTGTAAACAAACTAAAATACAATAACGTCTTATTAAAGAAAGACAATATTACAAATAATAAACGATAAATAAATAAAATGATACATTATATATTTATTCGAAAAGATTAAAGATGCGTGAAATAGCTAATATTATTTTAGCAGCAATAAATACATCTATCTGCTTTTTTAACCGGGAATATTTTTCATCTTTAATTATATTGTCTTTAAATGCAGCAAAACATATTATAGACAGTGGTAGTATTCGATTGTAGAGTAAAGAAGTTGAAATGGAACAGGACTCCGATATATTTCATTCTTATACCCTTTGTTTATCTGTTTACTTACATGTTATAATATAGAGGTATCGGGCAGTTAACTAATACTAGTATCCTAATAACAGAAACGTTTGTCAGATTAAGACACTTACAACGTCGAGACCTAGAACACACCATGTCGTGGAGCATTACCCAATTTACGTCTCTCGAATAGCTGGACACAAACTTGGTTAACCTTCACTAAAACAATAACATGAAGAACAAGTTTCACCAGATAGATCCATGAACATGGCTGTTTCGTGGAGCAGGTGTGGGTGGTTTAAAAATGCCTACTTACCATTCATTTTAAGTCCCATTCCATCTTCTTAATTAAATCCCAAATTCATAAACTCCGAATAAAGTCCACTATGACGACACAAAGACCGCCACGAATGATCAAACTGACCACTGTCCACACTCATCCGCCATCCAGGCTACCCTAACAGTTGAAGTGATGACCACAGGTGGAAGTCGTTGACGCCACACAACAGCACCGTTGTATACGACTTCGGTACCTAATCTTTGTACGACGTTGAATCATGGAAATGTGTATACACACACTGTAACTATCGTGTTAACGTTACCGCCGTGCTCACGGGACAAATGTCCACGTCGATGTAGTTAGCCACTGGACGCTGGAGAGCATAATGAGAAGCACCTGTACCCACGACTCAGTAGCCCTGCGGCTGACGCTCAGGTGAGAAGAGCGAGCATTACTACCTGTGGTTGCGTCCTGAATGAGATCAATATCACTCGTGCTGTTACATCACTGCGCGGGGTGATTGGGCAGGTTTCTACGTCTATGAGGCTTATTACCCTTTGGTTAGTTTCTTTAACGCTGCACTCAGCATAATTACAGCTAAATGACAACCTGTAAATCTGGACCAGACAAACCAGTGATTGATATAATGAGCAACGTCGACGTCGGGTCACGATGCCACGCTGTCAGCCAAGATATCGAGACTGACCAATCGGTTTATTTTATCCCCGCGTACGACAAGTATACCGGCTGCTGTGGTTCTATTCTAACCGTGTATTCTAAATGTATTCTTTTGTAACATTTGTGTTTTTAGCACATTATGTGCTTTTATTTGTTTGTCCTTATGTATGTATATCATGCGACGCCTTAATAAAATATTTTCTTCTTCTTCCGGTAATGCCCGCCGGGTGATTACTGTGTGAACCTCGCTAGTTGAGATCTCGTTACACCGAAAACTTGTTATCCCGAACGATCACAGCTAGAACCAACGACAGCAGCACGTTGTTATCATAAATATACACGGACAAAGAGCAAAATGGGTTACCACCCTTCAAACTGATTGTCCTGTGTGTTTGGAGACGTATTTGGATAGTCAAATGTATTTTTTGTTTGTTTGTTGTTTAACGCCGCTCTCAGCAATATTACAGTTTTATGATGGCGGTCTGTAAATAATCGAGTCTGGACCAGACAATCAGTTGATTGATATCATGAGCATCGATCCACGCTATTGGGATATGATGACATGCATCAACCAAGTCACTGAGCCTGACCACCCGATCCCGTCAGTCGCCTCTTACGATAAGCACAGGTTGCAGAAGACCAATTCTAAAACCCGGACCTTTAGGGGTATAAATACTAGTATGTGCGAGTCCTTTGTTAGTGTAAGTGTTAGTTTACGCCATATTCGGTAATATAATAACCGCATTGTGATGTCCTTTAGAAAATACAGCTAGGGCGAGAAAAACCAATGGTTGATAGCATGAGCGAGCATGTCACTAACAGCACTGTGTGTTCGGAGTATATATTTATATAGGGACCAGATCAGTGTTTGGATTGGCGTTCGTCAACACTGAATTGGTTATGTGTTGAAAATCTTTAATCTACCCAAGTCACCGTAATTCGAAATACAAAGCTCCGTCCGTAAGACTTGGGGAGGGGCGTTGGTTCAAATCCCACTTTGGCCATGATTAAGATCCTTGGTCTGTCAGCACCAGTGCATCATAACTCCGCCACACACTCGCACTGGGATCGCAACCAACCATTCACTGCTGCCGGCGCACTATCACAGACGGGTTTCAGGTCTGTTGAAATAGGTCGTACTCTTTTAGAAGTCTAAGTATCGAGCATTGCCTACCCTGTTGAACATTTGGCGTAAATACGTACAACATTACTTTGGGGTGTGGTATAAACTTAATTAAATGACAGATTGCGAAATACTTTCGGAACGTCCTGTAAAATCTTCGGCAAAACACGCAAAGCAAACTCGGAAATTACTCTTTTCAACAACAACTTTGAGGAGTAAATATCAATCCATGCCCATTTGCCGCGTGGCCAACTGGGGGGGGGGGGGGGGGGGGGGGGGGGGGGGGGGGTTTCACACCTCTGCCATTACGCCATGCCGCTAATCTGGTGAACAGAATCACACTTTCTCCGTCCTCTCCTCTCCCAGTCAAGCTGCTTCTTGTCAACGCCTCTGGGCTCGCTCGAGTATGAAAGGGTCTATTTCTGCCATTAATATACCACGTAAGGATTTGGTTTTGTTTTGGTTTGGTTTGTTGTTTTACGCCGCACTCTGCAATATTCCAGCTATATGACGGCGGTCTGTAAATAATCAAGTCTGGACCAGACAATCCAGTGATTAATATCATGAGCATTGATCCACACAATTGGGATCGATGACATGCATCAACCAAGTCAGCGAGCCTGACCACCCGATCCCGTCAGTCGCCTCTTATGACAAGCATAGCCGCCTGTTACAACAAGCATGGGTTGCTGAAGACCTATTCTTACCCGGATCTTCACGGGTTACCACGTGAGGAGGACAGACGCAGCACCTAGTGTAAACTGCCGGGGAAAAGAATACACCCATGTTTGTTGGTGGCTAAAACTAAAACAAACATGACATTGATATGTAATTTAGATAGTAATTTATTTGATGCGGGTATCGTAGTTGTGTTTTGGACCTTAAGTTTGCAGTGTTTCGGCGACTGTTTTCGGCCTAGTAAACTTTTCATATCGTTTGCATCTTTCTGGTCAAATCCAATTTTCAAGTGTTAACTTTCTTTTGCCCGGCAGGTTATTTCCCTTGCTGTTACAGTGGTCACTCTGGACTCCATCTTCATCTTCTTCAGTCAAGGAACGTTTTAGGTAGAGTTTGAATTTTGGGGTCAAATCTATTTTCCAAGTGTATATTATGAATCAAGTCTGTGAATGGCATTTAGAGGTAATATACATAAGGAAGAGAATTTATGGATGTCAACTTCTTCTTTTTTATGAGGAACACAACGTTTTGGAGCATATAGTTACTCCTTGCACCTGGAAGCCAGTACTGACATGTAGTATTAGCGTCGTGCCATCCGTATCGGGCTCAAAACTAAGCTATGGGGGCGAATGGGTTCAGGGTACTTACAAAAGGGAACAGGTCAAAAGGGCCGCACACCCTAGTCAAAACGGCTACACCAAAAAGACAAAAGGGCCGCACACCCTAGTCAAAACGCCTACACCAAAAAGTCAAAAGGGCCGCACACCCTAGTCAAAAGGGCTACACCAAAAAGTCAAAAGGGCCGCACACCCTAGTCAAAACGGCTACACCAAAAAGTCAAAAGGGCCGCACACCCTAGTCAAAACGGCTACACCAAAAAGTCAAAAGGGCCGCACACCCTAGTCAAAACGGCTACACCAAAAAGTCAAAAGGGCCGCACACCCTAGTCAAAACGGCTACACCAAAAAGTCAAAAGGGCCGCACACCCTAGTCAAAACGGCTACACCAAAAAGTCAAAAGGGCCGCACACCCTAGTCAAAACGGCTACACCAAAAAGTCAAAAGGGCCGCACACCCTAGTCAAAACGGCTACACCAAAAAGTCAAAAGGGCCGCACACCCTAGTCAAAACGGCTACACCAAAAAGTCAAAAGGGCCGCACACCCTAGTCAAAACGGCTACACCAAAAAGTCAAAAGGGCCGCACACCCTAGTCAAAACGCCTACACCAAAAAGTCAAAAGGGCCGCACACCCTAGTCAAAACGGCTACACCAAAAAGTCAAAAGGGCCGCACACCCTAGTCAAAACGGCTACACCAAAAAGTCAAAAGGGCCGCACACCCAAGTCAAAACGGCTACACCAAAAAGTCAAAAGGGCCGCACACCCTAGTCAAAACGGCTACACCAAAAAGTCAAAAGGGCCGCACACCCTAGTCAAAACGGCTACACCAAAAAGTCAAAAGGGCCGCACACCCTAGTCAAAACGCCTACACCAAAAAGTCAAAAGGGCCGCACACCCAAGTCAAAACGGCTACACCAAAAAGTCAAAAGGGCCGCACACCCTAGTCAAAACGGCTACACCAAAAAGTCAAAAGGGCCGCACACCCTAGTCAAAACGGCTACACCAAAAAGTCAAAAGGGCCACACTGAAAAGTCAAATTAATATTAATACACACACACACACACACACACACACACACACACACACACACACACACACACACACATACACACACACACACACACACACACACACACACATACATATATATATATAGCCCAAATAATGATAGTTTCTATTTGTTTGTTCTATATATTTTATTAATCCAAAGCATTTAAAAGAAACTTTAATCAAGAATTAAACCTGTTTGTGTTGCCTTTACTTAGCTTTTGAAATATACCATTCGATATTGTGTCTGTTGACCTTTGATCGTTAGTGGAACCTTGGTGTTCTCTTCACGACACTTTTGTAATATATACTGTATTCAATTCTTTATTTCTGTACTGAAGGGTCACGGTTTATAGGCCAGAGACCCATTACAAGAATAATATTATGTAACAGCACATAGAGATCAGGTCGGCACACGTACAGGATATTAATGATATTCATGTATATACTGATTGTTTTCACAGAGGAAAGCATGTTGTATTTTATTACATCAAGTTTTCAAATATCCAGTTTCGAGAGGTTGTTGTCTCACATTTTATGGCTTCGTGTACAAATAATTGGAACTTTTCAATTATACACTTCTTTTGAGAAGACATAAGATTACTAAGGAATGTAAAAATATTGTTCGATATAGTTTACAGGGATATACTGTTCTAAGACTTATAAACTATACAAATCATAAGAATGAAACTCACCCTTTAGCAAATGTCACATAGGACACATCAGCTTTTGTTTGTTTGTTTATTTGTTGTTCAACGCCGCTCTCAGCAATATTCCAGCTATATGACGGCGGTCTGTAAATAATCGAGTCTGGACCAGGGAACCCAGTGATTGACTTCATGAGCATCGATCCACGCAATTGGGATACGATGACATGCATCAACCAGGTCAGCGAGCCTGACCACCCGATCCCGTTAGTAGCCTCTTACGACAAGCATAGTCGCCTTTTACGGCGAGCCTGGGTTGGATACGTGTTGACTTTTGTTACACCGGCATATCGTCCTTCTACCACGGGTAACTTGGACATACAAACAAATAAACGATCTGTAATATACACCGAGGTTCTCACTTAAACTTAAATGTTCAGTAAAACCATGTAATGAGAGATCAGATTGGTAGGTGTTTGGGATATGAAAAAACTTTATATACTAATTGCTTTTATAGAGGAAGGGGCGGTGTGGTATCCTTGTGGTTAAAGCTTTCGCTCGTCACGCCGAAGACCCGGGTTCGATTCCCTACATGGGTACAATGTGTGAAGCTCATTTCTGGTGTCCCCCGCCGTCATATTGCTGGAATATTGCTAAAAGCGGCGTGAAACCACCCTCACTCACTCATAGAGGAAAGCATGTGGTATTTTTTTAATAATTTATTGTTCAAATATATAGTTGAGATAAGGTATTGTTGCCTCACATTTAGGGCGCTATGGACAAATAACTGTAACCTTTCAATTATAGACTTCTTTGTGAAGACATAAGATTTACGAACGACTGTAAAGGACATTGTGCGATATACTATACAGGGAGGTACTGTTCTCAGAGACTTGTATGACCTGGACAAATCATAAGAAAATAAAACTCAGCCTCCAGTAAATGTAAGCCACAGAGAACACATAAGCCCTGACATTTTACTTACACCGTGCATTATCTATAAATATGGTCGCGAAGATGCTAAAGGTGGCGTTAAACACAACTCCCCCGAAATTCTGATAGAACTAATTAAATACATAAATGCTGCATCTTTTACTATAAAATATTACTCTCCATATATATTAAAGGGTACTTTATAGTACAAAATGGGCAGACTCTTTTATAACTATAATCAAAACTTCGGATTCAGAGTGGCAAGCATTGCATGAACCGATATTCAACATTTTGCTTATTTTATGTACGCTTCTATGAATGAAACTACTGACACGATAGTTTGGATCAACTGCTTATTACAAGAGTAGCGTCGTTTCGGTGTGGATTATGACGTTTGATCAAGTGATGAACACAGAGGGCAGATGAGCTAGGAAATTTATTTTGCACAGACAGGGTACTCCATACTTTGCAAAGTGAAACTTTTTACAAATCGGATTGGGTATATAGAAATCATGCTGTTAGTTCCTTTTATGCTTGACTCCGCACTCAGCAATATTCCAGACGGTGGTCTGTAAATAATCAAGTCTGGATCAGACAATCCAGTGACTAATGTCACGAACATCGATCCACGAAACCCGGATACGCTGACGCGCCACCCGTGAAGATCTGCTGGGTTAGAATAGGTTTTCAGCAACCCATGATTGCTTTAAAAGGCGACGATGCTTGTACATGTACTAAGCGACTAACGGGATCGGGTGGTCAGACTCGCTGACTTGGTTCATGCATGTCATCGTATCCCAATCACGTAGATCGATGTTCATGATGTAACTCACTGGATTGTCCGGTCCAGACTCGATTATTTACAGACCACCGTCTATATATAGCTTGAATATTGTGAGTGCGACGTTAAAAAACAAACAAACGTTGACACGCACTCAACTGAGTCACCGAGTATGGCACCATATGCATTTAAGTCGCCTTGTACGACAAGCGCATATATCGGTTGCTGTGGAGTGGGGACCACCTCACTGGGAATTTGTATTTGAATTAAGATATCATCTTAATAATATATATCACGACACATTCTCATATATACGTCAAAATCATTTCTAAACAACAATATAGTAAACAACTGTCATGATGACTTGTGATATGTTGCACCACGTGTGCTGATACTGACGTGTTCATATGTCATACGTCAGATAACAATGGCATCTCGACAGGTGGAGATGATACGACATACAAACAGAAAGTATAAGTTATCGCTCGAGTTATTTTCAGACAATAGCACGTGCAAAATACCCAAGCTGATAGTGTCGCTACCACGATAACAGGTGAGGTGAAATGGGGTTTAGCGTCGCGTCCAAGACCCATGCACTTAAATGTAGCGACGTACAATGCACGTAGGTGTGGCTGATTGTACTAGTCCGGACTATGGCCGACTTTATAGAGCTAGCCCACTGAGGTATCATGCCATAGCTTAACATGAGGTACCTTACATGAATACCCTACTCAGACACAGTATACCGTCCTTGTTTCAGTCCCTTAATGCCGAGCGACAGACAGGGTAACAGAATAGCAGAGATAATTACAATCTTGCGAAATAGAAAGTTGTTCACAGAATATTAAAACGAAAGAGTTGTCCTGATAGCAAGGGACTTATTAAAATACTTCGTCATATTCCTGATACACGTACATTGTTCGGCCTCCATATTCGTATTCGACGTAATAAGCGCCCCGCTCTAATAAGCGCCCCGGCGATATTTGCTAAGTTATTGGCTAGTGAACAATCCCAATTAGCACCCCTTCCGATCGATCAACGTACCCAAGACTTATTTATTCGCGTATAATACGCACTCGTGTGTTATATGCACCCTTAACTATGGGCAATCAAATTCTGGAAATATATATCTGTCGTATAAAAACATTTCAGGCTGTCAGCATAAACCACGAAATTTATCTTTCAACTCTGTTTTTGTTCACCGAAATGATATTCTAATGATATTTCTAGTTTTGAGAGCGCCCTGTGTACTTATATTACGTCGAATACGGTAATGGTTATAAAGCGATATGATTTGTTTGTTCCTGGACCCTATATAAGGCACGAAAGCGACGTTTAACCCCATTTCACCCTACCTCAACTCTAAATTATCTTACATATCTTCTGGTTTAATGCTGAAACCAGAGACCAATATACCGATATATGGTCTCTGCTGTAACAAACAACCCCGGGAGAATATATATATTTCGAACTTGTAAATCACATTGAAAAGTAATATTGCATGCACTGGTTCAAAAGTATGCAACTTCCAGATCATGACACATGTTAGTGACAGGCAAGCATCGTTCATGCTTGCACCGAGACGATACAAAGACGATATAGACTCCCTGATTCATTTCATGGGATTTGTATTTTGTCACGTGACAAAAGAGATCATGTGACGCTCACATGATCATTGCTGCGGCGCTAGTTCAAGATGGCGGATGTCGGGAGAAGCTGTAGTCATTTGTCCGAATGCAAACAAGGCGTTATCTCACAGAGATCCTCACAACAATGACTCCGCGATAGCATCGCAGAGATTCGGACATCTTGCAAAGCCTGGATGCAATGGCGTCAAATATGACGGTCTTCTCAGATCTGTTCAGCTGGCGTCGAACAACAACTGTTCAAAAAATACTGCTGATCGGTGTTGGATTAGTAATTGTATCGTTCCTAACAAATATCTGGTCGTTATTCGTGGCATATCTTCTTGCGTTACCGCTTTCATGGAAATTACTTCATCTCGTCATGAAACGGAAAACTCCGGCACCTTCTGACAAACTCTTGTTAGCGGTGCAGACGATCAACAGAGTGAAACAGGGTATTCTCTCCCTAGGGTCACCACAAAAAGAAGCAAAAGAAAGATCACCGTCTTACAAAGAATCCAAAGGAATGTCTCTTAGTTATGGTGTTGACATTGGACGTGCAAAGGATGTGTCAACTTTGAGAGGTCAAACTATTGAGGGTGAAGTCAGTATTTTTGTAAAATATGTTATACGAGACTTTGTGCAATCATGGTATGAGGACTTTAGTCACGATGCTCAGACCCTGAAGGAATCACAGCAGATTTTACACGCGGCTGCTTTCAGTCTAACTAAACGAGGCCAAAAAATACACCCACAGCGACTCACTAGGGATCTTTTAGAATTGTTTACTCAGCATCTATCAACATTCCAAGTAGCCAGATCAGTTTTTCTAAGTCAAAGAAGGGGATCAATGAGTACTTCTTCAACAAAATGTGGGACCTTGGAAGAAACATTTGAACAGAGAATCAAATTCCATCCAGCATTAAAAAATGATGAAAGTGAAATGAACTTTTTGAGGAGCTTGTCGAAGTTATTGCTGACACACATTTTACCCACCAGTATAAACACTTGTCGGTCACCTCTTGTTGTGATGACTGAGATAATGGCATGTAATGTACTTAAATCAGCAATTGATATGCTCACATCAACAGACTGGTTATATGAGAGCATGGTTATCCTTCTATCAGACGAGGACCATTTAGAAAACAGCTCTGATGACAAATGGAAGGACACAAATACAAAACATTCCATTGAACAAACTCAGCCTACCAGAGAAAAAGATACAGATGTTGTGGTCAAAACTGAAGAAACTGTGCCAGATGGTGAAACAATTAATGAAAATCATGTTGGAAATGCTCAAGTAAAAGATCAGGGCATTGTATCAGAAGATGAGTGCGAAAAGCACAGGAAGGTGATAATCTCAGAAAATATTCCCCAGATATTGCTTGAAGAAGCTGGTTGTGATAAACATGATGGAGGAATAACAGGTGCTGAAAACACTGACATGGATAATGATGAGTTTAAGACGTGTATAGAAGAGAAATCCGACTGTGATAAAGATGATGAAAGAGGGACAGAAGATGTTCCCCCACCAAATCCCACCATGTTAAATGAAACTGATGACTATGCTGAGCCAGAAACTCCTCCAGCACAAAGTGTTGAATCCTCTCAGGAATCAAAGAAAGATGTGGTAGACTCTGAAACAGTACAGGATTATGCTTTAAAACCATCAAAAAATGACAATAAGAAAATAACTAGCACCTTGTTCAATCTGTTCAAAAGACGGAAAGAGTCGACAAAATCCAGGAATGATTCCAGTGCATCAAACTCTACTTGCTCTAGCGATGAATTTCATCGCTCAAGAGGAAATACATTTGATGATGGAGAAATTTTTCATACGATTATTCAGGGAAAAGAAGAGGCAAACTCGAACTTTGGTGTTGAGTGTTCTGAGGAGGCTGTTCCTGTGAAGGGAGATGCAGTGGTACAGTTCTTTGTGCAGGATGACAATAATGACAAAAGTATGGACATATTGACCCTTGACGCAGACAAATATTTAGTTGAGGACAGTTCACTGCTTTTTCAGGATGTGAGTATTCCAGAAACAGAGGAACGTCAGGAATACAGAAGCTCCTCAAAGTACACTCTCTATACTATAGAGGTGAGCATGATCATGGTATTGTCAGTGTCCATGGTGAAGGGACCAGAAATAATGCCATACTTTTAGTTAGTATTCCTATTTCATGTATTTTTATTAATTAAGGGATGTTAGAACGGTTAAGTGACTGGTCATTTATTATAGGGAGAATGGAATTGGTTTTATGATGGTAGCATTTTGTGACAACCCTTCCCCACATTATTCCACGCCCCCATATGCATGTGACAATTTTGTGATACATGACTAGTCCCTATATTATGTTACCATTTATAATATTTTCATGACTTCTCCCCCACCCCCACCCCCACCCCCACCCCCACTCCCACACCTTATTATTGTGATAGTTGGTTTTCATGACACCCACCCACCTCCACACACACACACATACACACACACACACACACACCACCCCACACACAACACCCACCCACAACCCCTTCCCGACCCCCTCCCTTATAACAAATAATGAATTACCAGTCCTGTCCCAAGACACAGTGATATACTACACAATTAGAGTCATTCATTATCATGATTAGTGATATTTTCATCAATGATATCAACATTGCTCAATACATTTATTATTTATCTGCACTTAAGGCATGTCAGACGATATGCTAATCATGTCATTTGACACTGTGGCTTTTGTCATTATCTGTTATTGATTTTTCAGTGCATGTTTATACATGTAATATGTGTCATGATACTGAAAATAAGAATATTTTATTATGAGGCTACATGTGATATTAAAAAAAAAGCATAACGTTGATAACAATGAATCTTAAAAATATATAGCACTTATGCTTTTATCATGTGTGTCACCATGATCACTGGCTGATTACAACATATTGTCATGGTTACGCAGTGTTTGCATTGGTCTCCAAATTAATGGGATCTCCTTGGATGCGTAACCCGCAAGCCGAACAGGCGTGAAGCTATCTAGGGGCGTTTGGGTGCATACCCCCACCCATGTAATTTTTCAAATGTAGACCTGAAATGTTTAAGTGTCTGTTTGTATCACATGGATTATGGTAGGCAAGAGAAACTATAAACAGAACAACAATAAGTTATGCATCAAGTAAACTTTTTTTCAAATGAAAACCACATAAGGGGATGCATGTAGGTTTCTTTTCTTGCGTGCCAGTTTTTTTCAGTGCTTATTTTGTATTAGGGATGCCGTAAACGCAAACAGTGTTATGCATATCTTATCCAGGTTATCAGTTGGTTATCAGTTATCAAGACTACTCAGCAATATTGGACATGTTTGTCATTATTTGAAACAAAGAAAAATGTATGGAGTGCTATCCTCTGAACACTTGTTTAACAGTTAAACATTTTTAAGTTTTATAGATTTAGAGCATGTATCGTGTTCTTTGTAAGTTTTACCTGCACTGTTTCAGTTCAATGCTCTGTATTTCTCCGATGGGCCCCCAGTGATGAAGAGTGGTGGTGTAAAGCGCCGGTTTCGTGAGTTTGTTAATCTGCAGGCCAGACTAGATGCCAAAGATAACTACAAGAAACTACTTAAAGGTAACCATGACAACAATGGCCATTTCGAACTCATCACTAACCATGTCAATACTGTGTGAAAAGTAAAATCATTTTTGGTAAATTTAACATGATTAAGTTTATTTGTTTTTTAAATTTTACAATGATTATTATGTTTATGTGCAACGAGTTGAAAATAAGAAGATTATGTTTTCATATTAAATATAACTATCATGACCATGGTAACCATGGTAACAGTGTTTGAACATGTTGAAAGGTCTGAAGGACAAATATGCATATAACTGTACTTTATTAATATCAGGAAAGTGCAAATTTTGATTTCAATGAGATACTGTTGTCTTGACCATGTCCACATTTGAGCTGTTGTGATGTTGCATTTATGATGTAGGTATTACCATGATTACAGTAGAACTTGGTTATAACGTACATGGATATAACATTACTCATGCTAATAGATTTAACAAACTATTTCAAAAGTCAGGAATACTATACATACTGTATATTATCATGATTATCATATAAATGTCATGCTGAATTTTCACCCCCAAAGATCTAAAAATAGACATTTTCTTACCATGCATATGTGAGTGACAAACTGACCAACTCAATCCGTGCTATTGACCAGCTGCGGTGACCCTTGCTACATATAGTTCCCCCATTATCACTGCAGCGTGTACATTTACACATTGGGGTTGTTTGTGAACCTCACTGTTATGTACAATCAGCAGTGAATCAGTAGTCACACTGCTTGCCCACACTTTACAGTAGGGGGCACGGGTGGCCCAGTCGTCTAAGGCGCCGCAATTCGCTGTGCAGAGTTGCGTCCCTTGGGCACGCCAGAAACCTATGATTGTGGGTTTGAATCCCGGTTCGCCCCAATTATGTTTCTAGGTTTGTCAGCACCATACCCGTGCTCGTGGGTTTCACCGAAGTGGTAAACGACTGAGACCTGCATCACTTCGTGCTTTCCTCCAACATTAAGCTGACACGCCGTGATGTAACTGGAATACTGTTAAAAGCGGCGTTAAACCCAACTCACTCACTCACTTTACAGTACATTAAGACATCTCATGGACATGATTGTGACAAACTATGTACATGATGTATCCAGTTTCTGTGGTTTTACTGTCTTTGTTACTCTAACCTGATCTACAATCTCATCAAAATCAGACCCTAGTTTTCCCTACCGCTAAACAAAGATCTTAGGACATCCCATTAGGGGTCACGTCAGAACGACCTTTCATCCGACCAATCAGTGCGTGGCTTACCAGATTATGAAAGTGACAGTCGGAATGTGATTTCTAGTCATGCAATTTTGAAAACTTTAACATGGTGTATTCCGAACGATAGTTACAGGTTTAACGACTGAATCCTTACAATCTAGACCATCTATTAGCCATTCCAGAATGTTTTTTTGTAATCAAGAATTTGTCAAAATATGTTTCGAAGCGTACTTGCCAATTTGAAAATTGTGCCGTAATGCACAAGGAAGCTGCCTTCTGATTGGTCATTCCATTGGTCGGTCAAAGTTTGCACAAGGTCAGCCTGACGTGACCCATAATGGGATGTCCTCAGATCTTTGTTTAGCGGAAGAGAGAACTAAGATCTGATTTTAATGAGATTGACCTGATCTACGACAATGGTTTAATTCTAATTACTTTAACTGTTCCTGAATTTTTTCTCACCTGCAGACATGATTTCATGGACAACAAACTATGGATCATGTGGATGTATAAGTATTAGGCGTAGACAAATAAAAGAATTAGTTCTCAGGCAATGACTTTTGAAAATATATTGTGGGCGCATGGTGGTTTTTTTCTGCTTGTTGAAACTAGTATGTAACCAAATTAACAGTTGCGTAAAATCAACTTAGGAAAGGGACTCCCTACATAAACAAGCATACAATTAAACTCCTGTTGCCGCCATGACCAAAACACAAGATGCGCAGTAAAGCAGTGCACATGTAAAGGGAAGTAACTGCGTGCTACATTCGATCCCATTTTTGTTAAGTATAAGGATTTTTGGATTTTTTTTAAAAATGGAAGTAAAAACGAAATGTGTGGCAGACTTTATCATGTGCCTTAGAACCAAGATTATAATTCTTTTTGCCTTACCAACAAATGTCAGCTGTCGATGAATGTTGGAGTCCATTGTGACAGTGTTGTTATGGTGGCTGTTGTCCTGATGAATTCAGAAACGAAGGGCCCAAGTCGGTGGAACACGCTGCCATTCAAGAATATGGACAAGGACAATGTGGAGAGTAGAAGAGTTTTTCTGGAGAAGTTTCTGAAGGTAACAAGCATGGATCAACTCTTGATTTACCTTCTACACACTCTTATAACACAAGGGCAGGACACTTCCCTGGTTAATGACATTGGTCAATCACCATCAGCATGATTAGGCTTTATATTATTATTAGTCCGCCGACCTTAAAAATATTAAATTCAAAAGATAAAGTTGGCAAACATCTTCCTGTTTAGAATATTTTTGTATCATTAGGGTTTATACCATGTGTACATGATGTACAGATGGAAATTATTTGTATTACCGTATTCGACGTAATAAGCGCCCAGGGCGCTCTCAAAATTAGAAATAGGGGGCTCTTATTAGAATATTATTTTGGTGAAAAAAAGATAAATTTCGTGGTTTATGGTGACAGCCTGAAATGTTTATGAACGACAGATATATTTTCCCAGAATTTAATTGCCCATATTTAAGGGTGCATATAACACACGAGTGTGCATTATATGCGAATAAATAAGTCTTGTGTACATTGATCAATCGGAAGGGGTTCTAATTGGGATTGTTCACCAGCCAATATATCAGCAAATATCGCCGTGGGTGCTTATTAGAGCGGGGCGCTTATTACGTCGAATACGGTATGTAGAGATTTATTGGAAGTGTGCTGAGGTTTCTTATCCACTTTCGCCAGTCGCTGATCCAGATTGAGGCAGTCTGCAATGGCCCGGAGCTCCGGGAGTTTCTGGCTTATGAGGGGGATGGCCATATTGCGTTCGTCAAGAAGGCGCGAGAGATAAGTGTGCCTAGGCTGGATAAAGTGAGTGTCTTCATTTTAATATTCATCTCCTTTTTTATTATGTTTAGCCAATTCAAGTTTGATACACTAAAAGATGCATTTACCATGAGACAAAATTTAGTATCAAGGTAATTTCCTTTGCAGATGTTTGTCAAGACTGCATCAGTGGTTTTTGACAAGCTGAAGTCAATTCCAGACATTCCCCAGAACGTCCTCTCTGCAGTAACGAAACGGGACCGCTCTGTAGAGAGGCAAGAAGACTGCAAGGTCGTAGAGGACTCAGACAGACAGGAGTTGGAGTATTCTTGGCAGGATCCGGACTCGGTCAGTGCCAGTTGTCTCCCCTTGTCACATGACCATGTCCATGTGGGCCTTCCACAATTCCCAATTTGTCAAATAACAGGGATGCAGTGCGCACGTTAGTTTTAAAGTAGGGAAAGTAGGAATGCCTTACTAAGGATATCATATCAATTATGTTTCTTTGTTAAAGATGGCTGGAAGCAGGGTGTTGTTTTTACCTGGTTTGCTTGGTGTGTCATGAAGATTGGTACTGTAAGATCGGAATAAGGCCCAGATGACATAACAAGTCAAGGTTGTTTATCGGTTATATATTTGATAACAGCAGCACTCTCAACCAGACTAACGACTAACTGTCATTCCCCAGCAACCCTAGACTAAAATCTAGTCTCTGAAATGAACATATCGTACATAAAAAAAACAGTTGTTCAGTTATCTTAATAAAAATATAATAAAAAGGAGCCCAGTGACTCTCTTCATTTTCAGATACTGATACTGCAGTGATCTAGACTTGCCAAACATTATAGACTTGCATGGGCTGTATTTGATATATATTTGTATCAGGGTCTGTAAGACAGACTACAGCAACCCTTACATCACATATACTATCACATAGAACATCACTTACCAGTTACAGTATATGTTACCCTGGTGACATTGAATGCGATCACTCTCTCGGCACACCCATCTTGAATGGAGTCTCGCTCTCATGAGATCTCGTTATGTTTATCATCTAACATTTAACAGTACCTTTTATCATTAAGATGAATATGACATGTGCTTACACATGTGTTCACCACTTGTCCTGTTTTAGGCCAGATATGGCTTTGCATGCTGTCATTACGTGGAAGATATTTAGTCATGGGTACTGCTGTGTACAACACATGAATGCTTTTTTCATTTCCCCTTCGGTCTTGTCCTTGTGACATGTGCTACTGCTGTCGTTGATGATTTGGTTTGAGGTGTTTTGTTTGTATTCCAAATTTGGCTGTATTTGCAGGACTCTGTATCCCATCAGTGGCTTCAGGCTGTGGAGGATTACATCAGTAATTGTGAGAAGGATACACATGATGAGGAAAGCATTACCATAACAACAAGCTGGGATGTGAAGGAGAAGAAAGCTTTGCTTGAGGAAATTCATGCCAAGTTGCCACGGTTACAGGGAGATGGTTCAGAAGCTCCAGATACACTGGTTCAAGAAGGTGTGTTCCATCCATCAGTTGCTTTGAAAGATCACAGATCATTCCTAAGCATTTAAAGAATAGAGCAAATCTGGCCTGGTCATCAATATGTCAAATATACTTACTCTTTAAAATTTGATTTTTAGGGGTATAATAAGGTATCTGACTTTTTATGATTTTATTATTTGAAAAGGGTACAGGATATTGTTGACTTAGGTCTTGTTCACTTCGTGACGTAGAAACTGCGTTTCTCAACCCACAATTAATTTTCAAAATCATTGCTGAGCTGCAGGCCGAATATGGGCGTGAGACAACTGTAGCCCCAGATGTTTGAGTGTTAACTGTTATTTACTTTCCATACAACACATTGATATGAACAAAAACTTAGACACCCTAAAGTTATTAGCACACACACTGAAGTTATGAATCAATAATTTGAACATCAACACAATGCGCGAGGGAAGTGTATTGCAATATTTGCATGGAATTTTGTATTGCATTATATTTTGATACTTAGGTCTGTGTTGTGATATGTATTGTAATATATTGCCATTAACATACAGGTATGTTTTCTTCCACTTATGTCAGCTTTATACCTTTTATTGGAAAAATCTGGTACCGTAGTTAACACAGTAAAAAAAGTAGTGCATTGTAGATTAGCTGTCTCAGAAAGTTTTTATGTACCGTATTTGACACAATAAGCGCCCAGGGCGCTCTCAAAATTAGAAATAGGGGGCTCTTATTAGAATAAAATTTTGGTGAAAAAAAAAACAGAGTTAAAAGATCATAAATCTCGTGGTTTATGCTGACAGCCTGAAATGATACAAAAGAAAAGTATGTGTGTATTATACACGACAGATATATTTTCCAGAATTTAATTGCCCCAAATTAAGGGTGCATATAACACACGAGTGCGTATTATACACAAATAAATAAGTCTTGTGTACATTGATCAATTGGAAGGGGTTCTAATTGGGATTGTTCACTAGCCAATATGTTAGCAAATATGTTACATTAAATGGGGGTTGGGGTAAAAAATATGATATAGTCCTAAGACCACCACCACCACTCTCACATGCACACACACACACATACATGCATGCACAAAGACACACATCAAGACACACACACCATAATAAATGACCAGTCCCTACTCATTAATGCTTACCAAATTTAATAATCTTTTCAGGAAAGGGTCAAGTTATACCAGACCTTCCCCTTGCCAATGCTGTCCTTGACCTGGCTCGCCAGACCATCCAAGGTCGTGAGCACTGGTTGACACGTGAAAGAGTTCTCTCTGTTTCAAGGATTGTGATTGGCAAGGCACTTGACAGGTAGTTCCTTTGTTTCTGGAGGATAGTGACTTAACAAGTATGAAATATAACTACCAACATTTGTCATCCCAAACTGGCCCCCACTGGAGATATCGCTTGGGAGAAATCAAGCAGATATCACTTAAGTGAAATTACATCACAATACTTGGCAGACCATTGTGACGTCATCAATTACCCATCTTCCCGAAGTAAGGGAGTAAACTGAATATAAAAGTCAAGTTTCCACCCTTGTCGAATGAGGCTGGAATTCCAGAGTTACATTTTGGCTGGACAATGAGTCTATGCATAGTCCAATTGAAATCCCGTTAGAAACTAGACATCGGGTTTGTAAACAACATGGATTTAAACATGCAGATTTCGGTCGACTGCAGGATTTCCAAAGCATGGGTACAACTGGGTGTCGACAGATATTTTGTAAATCTTTTCATGTTATTGATCAAGGTGTTCAAGTCATTTGATGCACATCGCGGGGTAAGACCCAATATGAAGCTTGATTATTGATCAGATCATCTTGACCATTTTGTTGACTGGGCGCCATCATTTTGTTTGAAACAAAGTGATATGAGAGATGGAATCTGATTGGTCAACAGGAGGGATATAGACATGGAAGGGAAATAACTTGTAATAGCCACTAGTTGTGCTTCAATCGAGCCTGGAAATTCTAGCCTAGTTCGGCAACGGTGGAAACTGGACTGTTATTGTCATTTAACGCCCTTGCCTCGGGAAGATGTCAATTACCATGACGTCGCAATCAAATGACATCACTAATCTCTTTGCCACTGAAGATGGTAAGCTGTACCTTTTAAGCTCAAGAAACTGATTATTACTGTTTGCAAACTGATAAAGTTGGATGTTTTAAACATCCTTTATGTACTAATGCTGAATAACATGTTGATAACTTATGCATCTATCACAGCTGTGGTATCATGTGTATAATATCAATGTATTTGGTATCCCGTTTTGCCACCAGGTGGTTGTCTGACCAGATCAGCTTCCTGACATCGCCAGAGCGCTGGGTGTATTACTCTCAGCTTCTGCGTAAAGCAATATGGCCTGATGGGAAGCTGTCGGCCGAAGACAAGCCAGTTAAACCACAGAGTGAGAAGGAGGCGACACAGAAACAAGCCAAGCAATGTCTGAAAGACTTCTTCCCTGGTGAGTGATGACTTGTCTTATAAATGTTCATACACGTATCATGAGCTGCTACAACAGCTGACAATGTACTGAAAATCATGAAAATAATGCAAAATGGTTCAAGTTCTCCTTCCTAACATTTTAGATGTGATGCATTTTTATCTCAACCTATTGGAGTTTTGTGTCATGTCCGGTTCATGACTCATGCCAGAAACAATGACAGACAGAGCAAGTTCACAATAAGCAATGTAGTGACTGAGTGAGGGAGTTTGGTTTAGCGCAGCTTTTAACAATATTCCAGTTATATCATGGCAAGTCAGCTTATTGTGGGAGGAAATCCCGAAGTGATGCAAGTCTTAGCAATTACCACTTTGGTGGAACACACGAGCATATGTATGGTGCTGACAAACCTAGAAACATATTCGGGGTGAACCTGGATTCGAACCCACAATCATAGGTTTCTGGCATAGCCAAGGGACGCAACTCTGCACAGCGAATTGCGTTGCCTTAGACGACTGGGCCACCTGTGCCCCCTGAGCAATGTAGATGAGCGCGTGATGTATAGCTTCTCACACAGCACCGTGTCAAGTGTGGTCAGTTTGTTTACTTAAGGGTCAAGCAGTTATGAGTTGCCAACTGTGTATGGCGGCGTCTTTGTTCTTGGCAATCTTGTCAAATAATCTCCTAATTAGACGGGCTGCTTACCCATGTGGTGAGGTGTCCGGTACAGTTGCACCAGTCATGGTGAGTACATGACACTGCTTGACTATGTTTAAAGGTTTGAGCTTCAATACTTGGAACCTTTTACAATCTTGAGTTGAACTCTCTCACTTGAATATGAGTTTGATTTATTTGAGATTTCCTGCTTAGATCACACATCATAAGGGAACAGTTGTGAAAATTATAATAATAAAACAGCTATCACACTTTATCATCCAAAACTGCACAGGAGGTATCGCTTGGATGAGATCAAGCAATATCAACACTGTAGGTATCTCTGCAATGAAATTACATCACAATGCTTTGCAGACCATTGTGACGTCACTGGTTACCATGACGTCACAATCAACTGACATCACTAATGGCTCTGCTACTGAAGCTGTTAGCAGTACTTTTTACACTGAAGACACTGCTAATTACTGTCTACAAATTGAAAAAGTTGGAAGAATGATGTTGGATGATAAATAAAATCTCACCCTCGAGTCTTTTCATATCAAATATATCAACACTCGTTGATAAAAGTGGCAAAAATCCTCGGCAAGCCTCGGAATTTTTCCATTTTTATTAACTCGTGTTGATATATTTGATATCAAAAGACACTCGGGTGAGATTCTCTATATACCACCTCACGGAAGTCTTGGTGTTGTTGTTTGCTGACTAGTTTAAATTGTAAAGCTAGGGACACCTGCATGGGGACGTTAAGCAGGGTTGATAAAAAAATTGCTGAAAGTGATCGCGAAAGTGAAGACACTGTTTTAGCAAGAGGAAGTGACGTAAGGCATCGGAAATTATGTAGACTACTTCTTGCCCCTCATTAGCTGAATACTGAGTTGATGGACGTGGAGTTCATACATACGCATGCATAGTTGTTGTCACTGGGTGGGATTAATATCAGCATTGTGTATAGATCAACTCTCGACACTTACTCAGTATTCAAATGATGAAGGGGCAAGAAGTAGCCTGAAAATAAAAGAAACTGTTCTCCATAAGAAGTTTCATGTCTTCATGGTAAGTGCACTGATTTATTTACACCTGCTCAAATGCGGATATTCAGCCCCAAGTCTGCAGCAAATGTCAGTAAAATTCCCATTTACTCAGAATATACGAAAATAAAAACAGTAAAACATTCTCTAACAATATCACAATTTTTTTGCAAATTTGCCTGCCAAGGGCACTTAGTTTGGAATCGTAGATAAATCCTTGAAGTAACATGCCTCCTTCTTGAAGAAACTTCATCAATGGTGATAATTGTCTGATCCTGTTTATGTTGTAGATTTCATTGAGCAGTTGGCTGGATCAGAGGATTATGACATTGCAGCTGATCAGATCATTGATGTCCTGCAGTATGAGAAACTAAACAGGCATCTGCTGTACATGTTCCTGGGGATTCTCACGGAGAAACTGTTTCCCGAAATCTCCGCACCTGAACTGCAAGATAGATTGTTCAGTTAATACAACACAGAGACAGCAGATTGTAGCACCTTGAAATATATTCCAAATTGTCATTGTCAACCAAGGATGATGTTTTCATCTGAGATTGTACGCACAGAAAGTTGTTCTCCAGTCCCAAGATTGTTTTAGAAAGTAGTTCCCCGTTCAAGGAGGAGGATGGGGGAAGGTCCAATAATTGAGTGTGGGAAAACTTAAGTTAGTTCTCTTAAATACAGAGGTTTTGTGTTTGGTCAAGCTTTCAGTTTCACTATTGTAGAATAAGATTGTACAAATAAGACCATGAAGTTTGATGTTGCGTGATACATGTGGCTAATATCAATAAATTGGAGGTGCCCCATGTAATCCAAGATGGCCGTTGTATTCATGCACATATTCCAAGATGGCTGCTCCTTGCATTCTCGAGGACTGCATTTGCTCTTCACATTCCAAAATGTCTTCACATAAAGAGACAACAGCATCTTCATGCACAAGACCCAGAAATATGGATCAAGAGTCTGAAAGGATCGGCAAGAACTAGTGTATGTAACAGGGTTGAAGAGGAAGTTAAAATGTCTTATTACTATGAATATTATAGTGCTAAAATTTATTGACTTTACAAGGTCAGAAGACTGAAAATTGAGACAGTGCTTGATGTAATACATATAGATTCATATTGATAGCACAAAGCATTAAGAACAATGTCTTTTAGGCTACATGAGAATCAATATTTCAGTGCTTAGGTTCGTCATAATGTTTATCATCATTTTGTGATGATTGGGCTTCAGGGAAGTCATTTTTGTTGTTTTTTATCAGTAAATGTTGTGTTTTAACATTAGATTTAGGAATGCCAGTGCTCTCCAGACTCTAACTTCAGAAATATCTTTCCTTGCCTAAACTTACCTCATGGTTGTTGACAAGTCTTGTCTCCTGACCAAAGGAACATCACTTATTTTTCTCGGCATAAGTTCACCTGTTAAATGTCTTGTATCTGGGTTAGTGCGGCCCCCCAGAGGAAGATGCTCATGCAAAGGGAGGACACACTCTTCAGAAAATCTAGTCTACAGTTATTTTTCTGCCATGTTTTAGGTGCATGTGGGATTTTTCTAGACCTGCTCAGAGGCCGATATTCTGCCTTAAGTCTGCAGCCAATGTCAGTACAAATTCACAAATTGGAATTAAACATTTCCCACTGCATGCTATTACAGTTATGACTGATGTTATGGCTTTGTAAGGTGATTTGTATTTCACTGATAACAGGACCTATACCGAGGAAGAGGCATTAATGCTTAGTTTAACATTACCGCATGGAATGCAATGATAAAATTAAATGTTGTAAAACACCTGAATTTAGGGAAATAATAACTGTATAAAAATTCCAATTTTAAACAAAATAAGGATTTTTGTCCAATTTGCCTGCCAAGGGCACTTAGTTTGGACTCTGAAATAAATCACTGAAATGACATGTTGTCACTATTCAAGTAAAGTCATCAAAATTGTAGTTTAAAAGAAAATAAACCCTTGTTTATTTATTTTTAAATTCCCTGTTACCAATTCAGAGTGGAATATATTTAGACATTAGACATATTTTATCAGCATGCAAGAACTCAATTTCCTAATGTTGTATTTTCATTGAATTTAAGCTGTGTTTATAGGTAAACAAAATGTCTTGAAAATTTGTTTGAGAATATGTGGGCTGAGGCAATATGAGTATTTTGTGGTGAATGTCATAATTATTTATGAATGTCAAAAAGCTGAATTGACAGCTCATTAGACAGACTGCAATGTGAACTGTTCTTGCGAATGAAGCATTGTTTTAGCTTCATATATTGCATTCATGTATACTGGTTGTTATCTGCATGCTTGTAGTTGTTATCTTGTCATCCAAAGATTCACATTATGAGATTATTTCTGCCTTTCTTCATCTGAAGACTCCCACATAGCTTCAGCCTCATCAACACATGTTTACAGGAACAAGTGAGGGGGGACCCATTGGACGTCTTGGGGAGGGGGGAAGATATTTTAAATGTAAAGTGTGTTCGCAAATATGCCCAAAATGAATACCGTATTCGACGTAATAAGCGCCCCGCTCTAATAAGCGCCCACGGCGATATTTGCTAATATATTGGCTAGAGCACGATCCCAGTTAGGACCCCTTTCAGATTGATCAATGTACACAAGACTTATTTATTCGTGTATAATGCGCACTCCTGTGTTATATGCACCCTCAGTTATGGGCAATTAAATTCTTGAAAATATATCTGTATAATACGCACCAACTTTTCTTTTGTATCATTTCAGGCTATCAGCATAAACCACGAAATTTACAATCTTTCAACTCTTTTTTTCTCACCAAAATTATATTCAAATAAGAGCCAACTATTTCTAATTTTGAGAGCGCCCAGAGCGCTTATTACGTCGAATACGGTAGTTTGTTTTGTGGAAAATACCTAGATGTCAACATTTTTGTGTTAAAAGTGAAAATGTTTAGCTTGTTTGTTGTTGCTTGGTAACTATATAGGTCGTTGGATGCAGCCTGGCAAAAGGAAGTATACACCCATGTTTGATGGTGGCTAACAATGAAACAAACAAGACATGGTTATTTGAGGGTGATGTATTTGATATGGGTATCATAGTTGTGTTTTGGACCTTACGTTTGCAGTGTTGTGGCAACTGTTTTCAGCCTAGTAAACTTTTCATAACGTTTGTAATTTTCTGGTCAAATCCAATTTTCAAGTGTTTACTTTCTTTTGCCCGGCAGGTTATTTCCCTTGCTGTTACAGTGGTCACTCTGGACTCCATCTTTAATGCCGGGGACCCTTCAAAATATTTACCGAAAGTCCCCAGGGCATGCTGATATATAAACCAAAGTAAACCTTGGCACAGTCCCTATGTTGCCGAAATATTTCTAAAAACGGCGTAAAACAATACTCACTCACTCAGGAGTCCCAGAGTAGAACTCCCTCATGCCTAGGCTGCTGTTGCTATGACGATGTCTATTGAACCACGAGATGAATAATTTGTGCAGATTGTCAAAAGCATCTGAATATTATTATTATGTTACATGTCGTCAAGGGTAAAAAAAAGTAATATTGTGATATGTTGTGATTGTCTTTAAACTGTGTGAGAGTATTTGTGTCTGATTTTATTTATGTTATGTATAACTTGTGTGTGGAGTTTGTGAATTCATCCTTTTATTGTCACATCATACTGACAAGTGAGTTAAGACTGAGATGGCAGAAAAAAACATATTTTTATTTCACACCGGAATTATTTTTAATACAGATTCTTTGTGACATTCTGATAGGCTAGTGTAAAACACCAGTATGTTTTATTTTTCACTTTTGTGCCTTGCAAAGTATGTTTAATATGCCAAAAAGATTAATAGACTCTTCCTATTTTAGAGATTACTACAGATAGAGTGCTTATCTAATAGAGCTATTATGTTTTGGGGCAGGCAAAATGAGTTTTTCCAGTTGTCACGGTGACCATATCATAGTGTATTCAGGTATTTGGACACGTTCACACATAGTATGAGTATTCTTAGTACAGGGGAACCTTCTTAACTTTTGAAAAAAATGCAGTTTGTCTTGGCTAAAAAAATATTAAGTTTGATTAAAATTCATCAGAACAACCTATACTAAAAATCTTCCTGAGGCAAATTAACACTATAAAAGTCCAATTTCCACCCTTGACAAACTAGGCTGGAATTCCGGAGTTACGTTTTGGCTGAACTAACCAGTCTATGCATCGTCCAATTAAAATCGCGTATCAAAATCGACATCCTGTTTGTAAACAACATGGCGACTGCCAAGCAGATTTTGGTTGATTGCAAGATTTGCAAAGAATGTGTACCTTTAACTGGACTTCAACCGGTATTTTCCAAATCTTTAATTGTTTTTAACCAACATGCTCAAGTGTTGTGCTACAATCCACATGCACTGGGCTCCTGTAAGACAGGGAATGTGAAATGTCTTCGATTAACTTGATTAGATCATCTTGAGTTGGCACTGCAATTTTGTTTGAAGCAGTTGCAGGTAGGAGGGACATAGAAGGAACATAACAATAGCCAATGGTGGCGCTAAAAAAGAGCCTGAAATTCCAGCCTCGTTCAGGAAGTGTGGAATCTGGACTTTTACTGTTGTGTAACTCCCTTGCCTCAGAAAGACACGATTTAGTTGATTTTATCCACATTGTTGACCATGCAGGTTCAGATATCAGAGAATGGATGACATCATCCAGTGTATCCCAGCGCCATTACATGCCAGAGTGACGTCATGCTGTCTCACAACAGTGACAGTTCGGGTCGAGAAAGGGTGCTGTGGAAAATTACTGGAATAGTTTGTATTTTACAATATTGATAAGCTGTTTTTAGAAGACTTGCTGGTGGGGTTGAGGTTTTGATGCCGAGATATAACACCTGCCAATATGAAAACACATGTTTATTGCCCATGTGTACTGCATGATAGGAACTATCAAATATATTTCAATAACGGGTAATCAGAAAAGCAAGACATGTAATTAAAATGAAATATGAATCAAATACCAAGGCATTTTTACCGGTATTGTACCATGTATAACAATCAAAACTATTGTAATATACAGATACATGTTTAGTACATGATATCTACTGATATATCACATAACTAGATCTAACAGTATTTATGAAATCAAGCCAAACTACTAATTTTGTTCCTTGAGAAAAGGTGACGTGGGATAGCCTAGTGGTTAAAGTTTTCGCTTTTTCTGCTGAAGTCCTTGGTTCAATTTTCCAAAGCATGAAACAAATTTCTGGTGTTCCCTGCCATGATTTTGCTGGTATATTGCAAAAAGCGACATTAAACCATTATCACTCAACTCCTTGAGATCATAAGACCAATAAAATACACATTATTCAGAGACAATAATCATATAGTATTCTTTGGGGACCATTAAGTCATCTTGTTTTAAGGAATTTAAGTGATAGTTACTGAGGTGTCACTGTGTGTTAGCTTCTGCTTGTTGTTTTCTGTGCTACATTTTTCAAGAGTCCAATTTTCACAGTTTTATAGTTGTATATTTTGTATGTATTTTTAGTATGTTTTGAGGTTTTTGTAATAGTTGTACAAGAATCGTTTTAATGAAATTTGCCTGTGACTTTACCAGGTACGGTTCAGCATCAAGTTTATTTGATAGTTTTAGAGAAATCTTATTTCATTTAGATTAAAATAGCAAAAGATAGTAACATTCCATTGTATCAGAAATGTAATAAATTAGGAAATTGAGCTGTAAATTTTAGAATATTTTGATAAACATTTTGATTCTGTGGGGAATGGCCAATTTTTTTCATTGGGCTAATGTCAGGCCTCAGATGTAGTTGATTTGAAATGAACTGCTGCATGACTTTCCTTTAGATGTACCATACATAAACTGTTTAATGAAGATTCATAAAGATGCAGACATTTGAAAAGTTATTTTTCTTGTCTATTTTATAAGAAATATATTCTCTTATTTCGTGGAAACTAAAAAAAACAGCATCATGACAATGTGGATCCATTGAACAAAATTCCCGTTTAGCTCACCTTACAAAAGGTCAAGTGTGGGTTTGTCATGGTCTGCTTGTCTGCCGCATCCAGCATTATAGGGGTCTGTGTAACGCTTCTTCTCAGAAACGACTTGACATGGAAACTTCAAGAGCTTGTTCCTACCAAGGAATTTGTTCAAGAGGCTCGAATCCAAGTTTTAAAAATGGCCATCATGGCAGCCATATTGAAAATGCCAATTAAATTTTATGACTAGACCATCTTTTTACCAAATATAATCAAACTTGATGCATTTGTAGTTAGTGGGCCCTATCATATATGTTCTGGCTATAATTTTAGTCTTGATACAACAGTTTCATTTTTACCACACCCTAAAATTCTCTCTAAAGGCATTCTTGGATCTGTAGGCAGGCAGTTTTAGATCACAATATCCAGGGGTTACTGTAGGTTTACCAAAATGCAAGCCCTTGAGATATAGCTGATGTACATGTACATGTCCATATTTTTTAAGTCTTTC